TCTTTCTATATAATAAGTATATATTAAAATTAACTAAAAAAATTGAATATTATATAATCTTTTTTTATAAGTTTTTAAAGTTAAAATATTATAGTACCTATATTTATTAAAATATACTTTTTAAATCTAGAGTAAATACTATATAAGACTTAGTCTTATTATATATACTATATTCTTTTTTAAATATTTTAATAAAGTAAAATAATAGTTTTATAATAATATTAAAGTATTACTACTAATATATAAATATATAACTATTAATAACGTTCGGTAAATAGAACTTTATTTTATAGAATTCTAGGTAGAATATTTTATCTAGAATACTTCTAGAGTACCTATAAAATAAAATAGAATACTTCTATTAATTAGTCTCTAGAAATCTAGGAGTTCTATAGAATTCTAGAGGCTTTTCTAACTAATTAAAAAGTAGTATCTAGGAGTAGTTTTTAAGTAAATAGTATAGGTAGATATATCTATTATTAGAGTTAAGTAAATAGGGACTACTTATATAGAGACTCTCTATAGTATAGTATACGTAGGCTAGTGTAATAAGAGGGATATTTATATAATATTTTAATAGAACCTTATAAGTATACTATAACATAGAGTCTAAAGCTAAATAGAAGTTTCTTATTAGTTACCTGGATCGGGGAGACTTTTTCCCGGTTATATAATAAATTCTATCTAGAAATTCTAGAAATTCTATAGAATATAAGCCTCTAGAATAGAATAATTCTAGAGAGGGGATCTAGAATAGAAAGGAATTCTAAATACCGAACGTTAACTATTAAAATATATAACTTATTACTTAAAAAACTTTATTTAATAAAACGTTACTAGTTATATAATAATACTTTTATTATAGAATTATTTATTAACTAGATTACTTTTCTATATCATACGTATATCCTAGAATTTATTATAAAAGAGTTTATTTTTAGTTATTTTAGTATTTTAAGTAACTTAAATCTTTAAGAGTTATATATTCTAAATAAACTCTTATTAGCTTAGTATACTTATAAATAATTAAATAAGCTTATTAGAAATAGGGTCTAGAATTTTAAGTAAAAAACTTGTTATATTTATTTACCTTTCTTTTTTTCTTATATCTTAGTATACTAATTTAATTATTTATTTATATACTAAACTATAAATAGTTTATTTAGAATATATAACTCTTAAAAACTTAGTTATAACTATTTTTAATATTAAAATTATATAATAATTTCTTTTTCCTTTTATATCTAGATCTGACTATGTAAGCGAGATTCTTTATATTTATTACTTTTACTTTCTTAGTTTTTCTAAAGTTACTCTTAATATATAAATTAGAATTTGTTAAAAGATTATTATAATATTATTAAAAATTATAATCTTAAGTAGAATCCTATAAACTTAAGCTATTTTTCTACCCTCCCTCTAATCTAGATATATTTTACTTCCCCTCCCTTCTCTGAACCTAACCCCTTATAACCTTAACTTTAACTTTTCTAGTGTCACGAATCACGTGTTGAGCACGTGAATAGTTAGTCCAGACGGCGCTCTGACAGGACAGGCACACCATGGTCCTTATAGCAAATAGGGATCGCGTAGGATAGCTAAGCGATCCAAGGATTTCTTTGTACGTAAATTACGTGACTCATGCAGGTCGACTTCTCAACAATCGACTATGTCGCGAGCGACATTGTCGACTTTGGGGATATGAAGGTTCTATATAAGACTGGCACGTCTGCCATTAGATAGGAGCTTCGTGCTCAACTTAGTTTAGCAATCTAGTTATTAAGTTATTACTTCTTTGCTAACAAGTGACGAGTTTGCCTCCGAGTAAACAACCCGGCGCATCTGTACTTCTTACCCGCATACCAACCGTCGAAACGATTACCTTTCTCAGATAGTTTGAGTTTCGTCACATCTAGGTATCTAAAGGCTTATATAATATTAGCTTTTTAGTTATTTTACCTTTTAATAAAGTAAATATAGCTAACTATACCTTATCTTCTTATCTAACCCTACTAACCTCTTTATCTTATATTTTATAAGTACTATACTTATCTTATCTCTTATAATTTCTATACGCTCTCTTAAATACGCCCTTTATCTTAATATAATCTACGAAGATTCCTTATCCTTTAAAGTATTTATTATACTTAGTATACTTCTTAGTTCTACTATTATAATTAATTAGAATTTCTAATTAGTTAGAATATAAAAAAGTAGGGAGAATAAGTAAAAAATAAGTAGAGAATAAGTAGAAATATATAACTTACTAGCTTTATATTAGTAGAGCTTCTACTACTCGATAATCGTAGGGTAGGCTAATAAGAGTAGGACTATTAGGATTAAAATTATAGAGTTATAGCTATAGAGTTTCGTTTATTTCGTAGAGGTTAATTTAAGTTTAAGTTAAATAGTAAGATAAAAGCTAATATTAAATTAACATTATATAAGTAGAAAAGTAAAGCTTTAAAGATTAAAACTTACATATTTTAGAGAATAATTAACCTTACTATTAAACTTAATAAGTATCGAGGAGAGATTAGTCGGGCCTTTTACTATCTTAGGAGGGGTAGCTTATTTCTCTACTACTTACTTAGGAAATATCTTAATATTAATAAATAAGAATAATATAATAATAATATAAGGATAAGATACTACTAAGATAAGGTTATATATAGTTAAGAAAAAGTTTAGAAGAGAGAAGAATCGAATCCTAGGGATATAGATAGAGAAGTAAACCTAGGAGGGAAGGAGAGATAGAAGCGATATAAATTACTATATATTCCCTCCCGAAACCGGATACTAACTAAACAAATAACCTTGATTTACTTATTAAAGTATATTATTATAAATATATAAATAAATAATCTATCTAAAGATTATTTATTTGGTTTATTTTCGTAAAGTAATATAAAACATAAAATCGATATTATATATTTATAAAGTTATATAATTAGAGTTATTTATTAGGGTTAACTTTTTAGTATTACTACCTCTAAAAATAATACTTATAAAAAATATATTTTAGGTATTAAATTAATTATTATTATGATCATATAGCTTATATTTAAAGTCTAATAATTAATATCTATTTTTATTATATAGTTATTCGGTTTTCTATTACCGCGCTTAGGCGCTAGTAAAAAATGGTTCTATTAGACTACTTAGCGCTAATCGCCTTAGTAATATAAGTAGTATTTTAATCGTTGTTAATTAAGTAAGTAGTATTTTTATTATTTACCGAATTTTATAAGAGTCTCTAGCCCGAAAAGGCCTTAGTTACCTACGGAACGCGGAACGGACATATCTATTAAAGTAAAAAATTAAAAAGTGAAAAACCGACTAAGTTAAAAACTACTCTCATTTTTCCTACTAAGTAGTATAGGAATCGCTTTTATTATTATTTCAAAGGATAGTAGAACAAGCCCTTGTTTTCTCGTGCCTATCCTCGTACCTATCGTCGTGCCTATTGTCGTGCCCGTCTACTTGTAAGTATATATAATAGACGAGTGTATATTAGTAGGGGCTAAGGGCATAGAAGGGTAAAAGGAGTAAAAAAGAAGGGATAGTAAAATTAGGAGGGAAAGCAAGGTAGCAAGGGAGGAGCCTAGAGTTCCCTAGGAATATAGCTAAATTCCTCGACTTTTGTTTGGAATTTACGTAGCCCGCTTATTTCAAGCTACATTCTAGTAATATTTTAGCCTACCTAAGCTCTACCCTACGATAGCTTCACTTCTTCTGACCACCTAGCCCCCTGCCGGCTTACTGCCTGCCTGCATTCTACCTGCCCGCCTACCTACTACTCTCCCTTTACTCTATATATTATTAGGGTACTATAGGGAGGCTATCAGGGGGGCGGTAATAAGAGTAGTAGGTAGACAAGTAGTAGGTTAGTTAAGGACTTAAAATCCTAGGTGGCACGTAGTAGATAGGTGAGAGTTTGCAAGTGCGAAAAAATCACGTATTCAAGGCTCTTTTAGTTAGTTTTTCACTTTTTCACTTTTCACTTTTTTACTTTGATAGAAGTGTCCGTTCCGCGTTCCGTAGTTACCTAGGATTAGGACTTTTAATACTACCTAGGTAAGTTATTTTACCTTATTAGGTATAATATACTTGTCTTAGACTAGACCGTTTTTGGCCGACTAGGGTGTTTTTTGGATTTTTTTATGAGGGGGAGTGGAGGGGTTTAGCTGATTACAGTGGTATGTTATATATAAATCTAGAGCTTAGTATACCTAGCCTTCACAGTATTTCCTTCGTGAGGCCAAGGAGAATCCCGTGTAAGCAGGTCTAGTACTCAGCTTTTGCCTTGATGACGCGAAGATACTATTACGATACTACTGTACGAATACTTCTACTTCATTCGAGTCTTACAGCACTTCTTGATGGGTACTATACTGTACGTAGACTGGTCCTGGATATATAGGCAAAGTTCACGTGCGCAAAGGAAAGAGATATTTGTTATTTCATGTCTATTTCTATTTGATGAGAACTTGGAGGTTTGAAAGTACTTATGTAAGCATATGCTTAGAGTGAGTTTGGTCTAAATTCTAAATTCTAAAATACAAGAAGGAGTCTTTGAAGGGGTATGTGACTGGTTGTGCTTGGTGCTCGGTTCTTGAGAGGCTGTTGGAGGTGTGGTGAATGGGTGGAAGTTGGGAATGGAGGTGTGGCATGCCGGATGCTACAGAAAATGGGGTGGTGAGGTGGTAGATGGATGACGGAATGAGTCGTGGGAGGTGGAAATATGAGAGAGCCAGCTCTGAGGGTGTTTTTGTTGTCCTTGGGATATGAGGTGGATTGAGAGATTTGAACCACCAATGAAGTCGGAAGAGCCACCCATCCTCGTTTGGGACGGCAATAATTAAAAGATGGAAGGAGGCGGGAGTCCACATGTATACCTGGATTCCATCTGCTTTAAGGAGTGTTTTTGGCAACGGTCACACTTGAAGCTCGAATAGACGGGATTTCCAAATCGTTTGATGGCAGTGTGTAGACATTTCTTATGCTTGCACTGATAAAATCCATGGCCTTTGTTGGTTCTCGGCTCCATCATAAGGCTGCAAGAGCATCGTGGGGCCGGGCCAGTCACGAATAGCTTTGTATATTTACCGAGTTTGAATTTCAAGCGGCCCCATGAATAATCTTTGAGAGCCTGAGGGTCGGAGCCTATCAAACAGTTGTTGCAGACCCAGAAAACTTCGCCCTGGGGGAAATCGTCGTCGTCTTGCTTGTAGAAATCTAAAAGTTCTTTCTTGTCGACGAGGGATTCCTTGTCTTCGATATGTTCGCTAGTCGCATCTCCAGGTTTGCTTCTATGAAAGAGACTCGGCATGGTTTTGGCGAGTATTAGATTGTCGGTTTGAAGTTTTGGGTTAAAAGGAGAGATATGTCGGCGTAATATTTGTGGCATTTGATCTTTGTGGAAGGAAGAGTTGAGCTGTTTAAGGAGATATAAGATTGTTGTTCAGGTGTATGAAGAAAGGTTGAGCAGAACTTGAGTTTTACTTTTTATATAACCTGGAGTGGCGAAATAGCTTCTTGACTAGTGTAATTTTCAATGTAATCACAAAGTGAGGTGGTTAAATCTGTCAAGCACTGGAGGGCAGCTTGTTGGAATATACAGAGGGGGGGGTTCGTTAAGAAGGCTTGGTTTTGTGAATTACTTGCTTGTAACACTATGTTAAGTTCTTTATAAGTGAATTGCGTATTATTCATGAAGCTTGATAGGGTTTGAATAACATTCCCGTCAAGGGAGCAAAATTTCATAAATACAAGTCAAATCAAGTTCTTCGAGTCTCTTACTTACAGTCATTATTCGAGAGTATGTTTTAGCGGGTGAATCGTTCTAAAAGTTTAGCTTGTGGAATGGATTATCTATTGGTCTAGACCTATAATTTGACAGTAATTAAATTTTAATATAGAGCAGGGGTTCTAATCTGACTGAAAGCTGGTATATCCCTAGCAATCATACTTCTTGTCGAGTATTATTCTAAGTGGTATTCTATAATAAAACCTTCTTATGTACGAAGCAGGTGCATAGAATTGGAATGGTCGCTTAGGAGAGAAGAAAAGTAGGTCAGATCCTTTTTATTTTTTCTGAAGTAATTTATCCTAGAAGTATATAGATGTTTCAAGTATTCTGAAATAACTACGCCAATTTTCTTTAGATTGAGGGCACCTTCATAATTAATGTAACTAAATAGTTCGAGCTAAGTTACGCTAATGGAAAGGATACTCTGTGGCCCTTCTTTTCCGCCACTGGGCCGGTAAATCAGGGCTTAAGGAGAAAGTTCTAATATCTGGCGTTACCTGAACATCTCTCCATGTGTCACTTTATTGCAAAAAGTTATATCTCGAGGTTGGATAATGAAACGTTTGATGTATGTTTTATTTCTAAACTGTTATCCGATCTATTTCGTCCTTCGAGATCTTGGTTTTGTTATAGTACTATGTATAGTGGAAAATATAAGAGTAGAAAAAGAGAAACGCCTCGCTAGATATACTTGGTGTTTATAATAGAGTTTAGGAGTTGAATTTCAAAAGTGACCTTCTAACTGAACCTCTACTCAGGCCTTTTGGAGAAGAAGGATTTATATCCCGAGGCCCCCGAGTCTGTGGAATTATCGGACGAGCTGGTTTGCGATTTTCGAGCAGACTGGGGGGAAACAGAAGGATCTATCGTTACTGAGCCATTGACAGTGTTCTTCAAACCACTTATTGTAGTAAGCGGCCTGTTTGGGTAGATCAAGTGCTTTGAGAAGATCGAGTACAGTAAAATCTCGGTTGTTACGGTACTTCCAAAGGAACGCATCAAGCTCTGCGGATCCAATTTTGTCCGCAAACTCAACCAGACGACAAGCCACTCTGGTCCAGGCAGTGACTCTTTCCGGACCCAGTGTTCCTGCGTGTTGGCGAAATTCTATCGTCGGTACCTTCATGCCCTCTGTGAGGCCCGCAAGGTTTGAATTATTGCAAGCCAGCTTTTGCCTATCCATGTTGCGCGTCAAGTTCCAGATGGCTGTATGATCTCTATCATTCCTGTGTGCCAAAATCTGTCTCAAGCCTGCTTCGACCCCTTCCGGGAGTTGACATATTATCCCCCTTTGTTCCTCGAGTGTCCTTGCGAGAACCGAATTTATTCGCATACTTTCGCAGTAGAAAGCATTTCCACGTCCAGCTCGTCGTGTGATCGGATGAATTAGCTCAAGCCTGTCTGTAAATGCCCAACATACCGCCATTGGATTGGTGAGCGTGCGTGGCGAGTAACATAGCCTCCCAAAAGCTACATGACAATGCAACCCCGTAGAAGAGTTGCAAATAATCCTATACTTATTGCACAATACCGAGCAGACGCTCGCAACCCGCATTCTAGATTTTTTACAATCATATAAAGGTGGAGAGGTCACCTCGATACCCAAAAAGCTATAGGACTTGAGTTGGGCACCGACGGAGATATCTGACTTGACAATCCAGTCCTCCATGGGTTCCCTCGTAGTATCCCATTTATTCCTGGCAGAGATTCCAGCCGCTCTCAACGTTTCAGCAACATGTTCCCATGCCTCGGGAAACTTCACTGGGGTGTTCTCCCACCTCGGGTCGTCAAAATCTCGATCCTTTAGGACTATTCCACGAATTGGACGGGGTTCCTTTCTATCGGGATCTTCGCCGCTCTGCTTGTACGCTATGTTGAACTCAAACTCCACGCCGAAAGTGATTCTTGGGCGTTTTCTTGCGGGGGTTTCTTGATATTTCGGTTGGTGTTCTGGACTGAGATTTGTCCTCTCCTCCCTGAGAACCATTCTCATATCTCTTGAAAGCTCTGGCGACCGCATTTTTCCGTCGTAAATTGATGAATATTTTTTGAAAAGATTGAAGGATTTTTTTTTGTGTCTTGCTTTCCGGTAAATAGAACAGGATTCCGTTTCCTTTCTCTTTTGTGATATGTACAGTGATTATGTGTTGCTTTTTGGTATACAGAGTGTTTTACTATATCCTATTTTCTTTCGTAGGTTTCTGCTATGAGTCCGAGTCAAAAAGTTCACTGTATCTCTCTACTTTCTGTTACCTCCGGATCCGGCCTATGTGTTGGAAGGAAATTCTTTTGTGGTAAAAGTTCTTTGTTCTTCGAGTGCGAACACTACAATGCCCTTTATTTATTTCAAGCTATCAAAAGCTATCAAAAATCCTTTGTGGATATTTTAGGCATGCCCTTGTTATTTCTACAACCCCTTCGTAAAAAGCTATATTTTCTTTCAACCTCGATGGTGGTCTTTATCACTAGCTCTAATCAGCATCCTAGAAACTTGGTGGCGGCAAGGGCTTTGTGGGGGCTTTGTGGAAGGTTGACTTAGTAAATGGCTCTTTACGAGGTGTCTTCAGCAGAGGCGTGCCATTACGAATATATGCGGGATGTGAAAGGAGAGTTGCCTTTGCTAGCTTCACGTGGGCGTGAAAAGTAGAATTTGACTCGTATGATCCACTCGTCTGCATACTTTAATCAACATAAACATCACCCAGTTTCCAAAACGAAGGCGTAACTTCTGCTGCAGACCTGAAAAATCCTCGGCGGTTTCTAAAGGCCAGAACAAGCCATAGTGGTTGCTATCCCAGCCGCTGTTCACTATTGAATACACTCGCTATCATTCTCCCAACTCCTCTTACACTCTCCTTCTCTTACAATATTTCTTCGTTGTCCTCCCGCCATCTCACTCTTGCTATCGCATCACTTGCCTCTCACTGTCACAGTCTGTTTTACTAATGGTTGTAGACAATACAGGATGACAAGAACTCCTAAGTTGTGGTGTTTTCCCAAGACAGCAGCAATTACGAAAGTACCAGCAATTGATTATTTCGGAGCATAGGCGTCTGCAAAATTAGTCTGATATATGTTAAACGAAGGAATGAAGTAAATGAATGCATATTCGATCCTGAGCAACTAGATCAATTATACAAACAGTTGAAGTAGATATCGCGCCGCGACATATATCACAAGTCACAAGAGTTGGCCAAGAGCAGATTTTTCAACTATATTTAAGCTGGTGCTTTCTGCACTTCTCCCTTCAGTAGTTAATTCGGAAGTTGTCGTACAACACAAACAATCGGAGGTCATTAACATTTCATACTTCTTAGCATCCTGGGTCTTTAGAAGAACGGAATAAATGGCCACGGAAATAGCTCTGAAGATATTGTAACCTCGCTCCTAATGGACAAGAAAAGTGACAGACTTCTTTAATCATAGCCTTTCTTGAAAGTTGACCAAAAACTATTTTATTATATTATTTACTTAAGTTAGACAAAAAGAAATGATTAATTTAAACGGGTTAGACGATGAAGACAATTATTCTAGATACTTTACACATTTTGTTACTCGGGATTGACTGACGCTGATAGTTAAAAATGAATCTCAGTCACTTTTCTTGTCCACAGGGAGCCTCTTGCCATGGGCCTCTGTGCTATTGTAACCCTCAAATCGACGAATTAATTAATACTACTAGTGATTCGTTAATTAGTACGTATAGTGGAATAGACGGTATTATTTAATTACTTCTAGGATGCGAATTATTCGTTAATTTTATTAATAAATAAGGTTAGTTTTTATTTAAAGTACGCCCTTGCGTAAGAAAGTAAATAAAGCAACCTAAAAGAAGAAGTAATTAAAGTATAATCTCTATATAATAAACAAGTAAAAAGTAAAGCTATTCTAAGATACGATTATTTTTACCTTATTATCCGTCACAAATAAAAGCTCTTCCACCCCCGCTCCCCCCTCCTCTGTAAGCCCCTCGTCTCTACCCCCCACGTTACCTACCCTCCTCCTACGCCTCTGTCCTTTTCTCTATATAGCGGTAACAGGGGCTCTATTGTTTTCGACTTATATAGCTTTAGCAAGAGAGACTTTATAGTAAAGTACCGGTAAGGACAGTGGTAGTAGAGAAGAAACAAGGGTTAGGGAATATAGACCCTTATATAGATTTGTATATTACTATAGTATTTACCTACCATATTCTATTCCTTATTCCACACTTACTACCCTACTTGTTCTATATTATAACAAGCTATAACAAAAGCTTATTATAGAATGGATTATCGTATTTGTGACGTCTACAATAGTACTCCGTATATCTATTATACGGCAAATGCAATAGTCTAATTGGTCAAACCGGCAAATCCGGGGTTACCATAGCACACCTCGCTTAGCCAAGTTTGTCACATTAATATGAAAATCATCCATAGAGCCCAAGAACAACTACGCCCAGCCAATGTGCTATATATGAATAAAAAAATGAGCTAATTCAAAGATACACCAAGCAGCGGACTGTAAATTGAAAAGGCGAGCTTGAAGGTTCAAATTCGTTCGAAGCGAGGTAATTGTTTCTTGTGAAGTTTTATTGTTAAAGAAATTACAAAGCCTAGATTAAATCTCTGAAGACTGCTTCCGTCTATTCATACATATCTCCACCAGCGTATCTATCATTTCCATCATCCAAAACATAAAAACTTTAGTGATAGAAATTTCTGCGACGTCTCTGTCCTCCAATTGCACCTTCGATTTCTGGGATATGGGCAGGGAGGGAGTTGTACAGTCAATTACTGGATCTCGGGGTTAGCATTTGTTTTTCCAGTTATGCTCAACATTTCCATGAGAAACTAAGAAGGGAAAGAAGTTCATCTTAGCGGAGAACACATACAATCATTAATGTTGTTCACACCAAGAGGCCGATACGAGTATATGCAAGTGCAAATTCCTGAGCAGATTAGTATGGCGGTAAGCTCGTGTGTTTAGGCTACAGCTTACTTGGTTCCAAAATTGCTGTGCTCCAACAAATGCCTTCCATGGTTCACTCATGTTCTGAGCTTGGGAGAGAGCAATATCAGATGGAAATCGAAAGACACCAGTAGTAGCATTGGTTTGGAGAGTCTCGTTATAAAAGTTCGTATCCCAGATGCCAGGTGTTGAGTCTTGTGGCGCGCCTGATTGGGCCTCGTCGATATGAAACTGTGAGGAATTTCAGAGTCAGCATTTCCAGTAACCATTTTGGATATGAGAGCCGAGACGGAAGGGAGAACTTACCTGCTTGGCTGTCGAATGCGCACCCAGAAGTGCAGCAAGATCCTGTGCATTGATGGTTTTGTCCATCATCAAATCAATCAAGTTTTGAGCACTGTCGTGGACATCCGGAACAAGTCCAGGTGGAGCCGGCACGGTAGCATCCTTTCTACCAGCAAAGAATACAATACGTGGTCCCTGAGGGCAGGACACAATCCCGTGATGAGCTGCGAACTGAACGAGGTCTGCTGCTCCGACTCCAGGGTTCCTAGAATGTATATCCACAAGTTTTCCTACAAAGTCTTGAAGTCCATTGTTTTCTGGACGATTCTCCTCTCGGGAAAATAATGAAAGATCCATCGGCTCCACCAATGTCTATACCTTGAGCCGAACTTTTCTTAGACCAAGAAGCAGCGTCGTGGAACCCGAGGCGAACTGCGGCTCTAGCATCATCGGTACATTCCTTTGTCGTTGAGTTAACAAAGAGTGTCGACAACTCTTTAGATACAGCATACCTTGACAGTTCTATTAGCTTGAAGACTTGGGTAAATACGGTGACTGAAGAGACTTGCCAAGGGCAACAAACATCTATTGCACAGTCTGGCTGTGGTTCTAGTATGGGACTTAGTAGTCATTGATTTCATTTATCCAAGATGTCCCACCTGGATTATCAGGACCAATTGCGCTACCTGAGTGCAAAAGCCAAGCACGGAGTAGTGAGCCAGCGTTTGTGAGGTTGGATACTGGCATTCCAACTAGGTCTCCGAGAAGACCTTGATTTGTCATGGGGTCAGTATTACCAACTTGAGCAGCTAGAATAGCTGGGATGAATGCATAATAAGCCAAAAGCTTGCTGAGGCGGAAGATAGCCATAGTTTCAGGATGTCTTGAATAATATATCAAAAGAATGTGATGAGGAAAGCTGTCTGCTTGAAAGTTCCGAATATTCTGGGACTCATGTGGATAACCTTAGTCCTTATAGACAATAGCTCTCCCATGTTTCCAAAAGTTCTTGGGTCTCGTTCTGTTCGAAATACCTCGTGAAGCTGCTAAGTGAAACACGACCTCTCTTCTTTCTGTGCCTTCATTGGACTTCTGGTTTGCTTACATTCGTATTCATCCCACGGGATTCAGGGATCTCATATTCAGCTTCTGCTTCATTCGTCCCCTGGTAACCATTGTCACTTATCGATCAAGGAATATTCAAAAGTGAATTGGAAAGTTTTGGAATAAAAGGAGAAGACTCTGCGATTTGTAAAAGTAAAGCACAGGTGGGCAATAAATATCCAGTGTTGATGCTAGCTAGTACTAGTTTAGTACTAGTAGGAAGCGAATAAATCATCAGATGTTATGCGCCATGTAACAGAAAGCATCGTGTTGCTAGTATTTGACCTGAAATTTATACTGTCAAGACATACTACTTCAGACGACGTGTTTGTGGTGGTTTACTCTAGTCGTTGTAACCCTACGACTAATGCAAACTTAACTCACCACAAAAATGGAAGTTTGCTCCAGATAGCAGACGCATGCCAAGAAAGCAATTCATTTTCATCATTGCCTAGCTTTTCAAGGGACTAGTGGGACGGTTCGTGTCTTATTTCTGCAGGGAATAGGGTCACACATCGTGAACGCTTCCTTACTTCTGCTCAGGCGCATCACGGTTCATACCATTATTGTAATCAATTCCTTCTCATTCGCGCCAAGTCCGCAGTAACAAGTGAGGCTGAGACGATAGAAACTCCCATGTGATGAATTTTGGTTTACATTGCAACGTCTATTTAAGGAGCGACCGGATACATGCATTGCATATCCGTGGTCGTTACTTGAGAAGTTATGTTGTGCCGTACCGGTCGAGCCGACGGTTCACTTTACGGCGAATAACTTCCTCATTTGTCGTACACGTATAGCACAACACAACACTATGAGGTTGCCTGTAATTGTTTGTAGCTGAACACTTTCCTTGCTTCTATAGCCCGGATGCATCAGTGAAAGTCGTGGAGTTTTGGGAAGTTTTTAGAGCAAAAGAGGCGTTCGTGTGACTTCGTATATATTTCCCAATGCATGATGAGTAGGAGTACCTCTCGCTAAAGATGATCTACCCCTGGATACAGTACCAAGACGTAAGCTTCTCCCGTCCCACCTGGAGCAGAAATCGGATTTTTTGCGTAAAGCTGACTCCGAACTCGGCTACGGGAATCTCCCATTCTGAATGTCTATCATTCTGTGTCTCATATCCACAAACACGACCATTTGCCATTGCATGTAACGGTGAGTGATCCTTAGACAGAGACGACTGACAATCATTGCCGTACTAATAGGGGACACTTGAATTATCACGGAAAGAATGTATTTATATTCACCAATCAAAGCATTCTTGCTTCTGCATCAATTAAAATGTGTAGAACCCTAGCACATAAGTATGTTTCAAAAGGTCGTCTATTGATGGTCCATGGAATGAGCCCGCTCATAATTACTGAGAATTTTAAATCCTTCTAGAAAGTCATTTCATTCTAGGCAGATACCTCGGATAAATTCCCCGGTCGTAATCTTGCTCGTATGAATGTAAGAATATACGGGGGTTTTCCACCTCATCTTAGATTTGCCTCCAATCATACACAGTGGGAGATCTTTCAGGTCAAAGTCAATATGCAAAAGAGAATGTAAGCAATATGTAAGACGACGTGATAATAATTATTCTCTGTGGAATCATTAAGTACAGTAAGGCTTCCAGTCTTTTTTGATATTACTAAAACAAGTAAAAGTCGTGATCGTTGCTCTGAACACACCCAGCTGAAGACAACGGCAGTCTAAAAAGCGACGTACAACTATTTCAGTTATGCGAATAGTTCGGGATAATTGTCACTGTTCATGTCTTACAAGCCAAGTGCGTTAAATTAATTAAGTCATGTTTGATATACTTACGCTTTATTATATGTGCATAGCAGTAAACGAGTATTTGCTACAGGTTGTATAAAACTTGGAGGTAAATGAGAGAAATAATATATTGCAGAACTCCATGCACAAAATACAAATATGCCTTACAATGTAATGATACTTACCAGTTGGCTCTACCACCAACCTTTCCTTTTTCTCCACCCATCTGTTTCATTGATATCTCCGTTAGCTCCTTTTAAGATGAGTCGGAAGTATTACATGCTAGGTATATGTTCACCCATAACGAACTCAATCTGCTTGTCCAAGTCGGCCTGACGAGCTATCAAAGCATCAGTTTCCTCCCATTTTATTTCTTCCGCCGACTTCTTTGGAACTCCTTCTTCTCCGGCTTCGGGCTCATCAATGGGTTCAGGGTCGCTATTTTCACCTGAGGATTCTTCGTCATCCGTTTCTGGAATTTCCGAGCCTAGTTCCGAGTATACTGATGAAGCATCAGTATCGGCACTGTCATCTAGAGATTTATCATGACCTGGCCAAACTGACGACTTGGCGTCGAAGCGAGACTTCTTGAAGCGACCTGCGTGACTCTCAGCTCTGAAAACCAACTTACGTGATTCGAAGGACTTCCGAGCTAGATCAGCACGTAATAGCATTGGTCCTGTTAGTTTGTTTTTCGGCTCCTGATGATCCCAGTCAATCTTAGGAAAAAGTCGGTAAATAGAATTTTGAGCTCTCTTAAGCTTTTGAAATCTGGTGCGGTAGAAAGGGGTCCCAATACACTGACGCCCCGGCGTCAGTTTAGAGCTGACTAAGCGCGGGTTTTCACGCCCCCCCACCACCGAAATGCGCGCGCGTCGCATTTACATCTACCAGCACTGTACTTTGGACTGTAATCAATGCACGCCTGACATAGCTACATAGCGAAAATGGACGTTCAACTCTCGCTGTCGCCACTGCCCTTACATTCACCTGAGCAACCACTTGAGCCAGCGTCAGCAGATGCCACCCCTCATACGTCTATGCCACTGCCTCCAGAGGCTATATATAGCTCTAAAGAAGAGCTATATACTTCAATTCAAGCCTGGGCAGCACATCATTGCTATGCTTTTCGTATTGGACGGTCAACAAAGATCCATGGCGGTCCTAGGACGAAGATCACGTATAATTGCGACCGTTACGGCCTACCACCATCCGAAAAACATCCGCAACAGCATTTACAAGCACGTAAGCGACAGACAACTACTCGAAAAACTGGCTGCCAGTTCTCAATAGTAGCGCTTGAATGTATAAATTCTCAATGGGAGTTACGCTATAGGCCTGGCGTAGAGTATAGTCTACATAACCACCTTCCAAGTCAATCAGTTAGCTCTCATCCAGCACACCGGAAGCTAGCACAAGCAGAGATAAATCAGGCTAGATCTTTACACAATGCAGGTAAGATAGAAAGTAACTTGAAATAATTTAAGTCTAATATATATTTAGGGATTAAGCCAAGCCAAGCAATTACATACCTTCGCCAGATAACTACTACCCCACTTCAACCGTACGACATATATAACCTGAATGCCTCTTTTAAAAGAGAGCAAAGACATGGACTCTCTCCAAACGACGCCCTTATTCAGCACCTTACAGATAACAAAATACACTTCAAAATCAATGTCACGTCAGAGAACCGGACACAACACCTCTTCATTGCATATCCACAGTCAATTCAGCTTGCACAGACTAATCAAGATGTTGTATTAGTTGATAATACATATAAGACAAATAAGTTTCAGATGCCACTCTTACATATGATTGGTAAGTACCGCTTTTGACTTATTTGTACGCTTATAATACTAAGTATTCATAGGTGTTACAAGCTCTGGATTAACGTTCTCAATTGGATTTTGCTTCCTTCCCGGTGAAACACAGCAAGACTTTATATGGGGATTCCAATGTTTTCAAGAGCTTGGAATTAACCCTGGAGCTATAGTTATAGACGGTGACCAGGCTCAAAAGAATGCGTCAGAAGAGGTGTTTCCGCACGCCCCTACACTACTCTGTATTTGGCATGTAAACCAATGTGTACTTGCTAAATGTAAGAATGTAGTCGGGGAAGAGGATTGGAAGGCTTTTGAGGCTGCCTGGCGTATAGTTATTCAAGCACAGACAATTGAGCAATTTGATAAGCGCTGGCTTGAGTTTCAGACTCAATACTCAAACCCTAAGACTCAACAGTGTGTGGCATACCTACAAAACGAGTGGCTAAAACCTGGTCAAAAGGAGCGTTTAGTTGAGGCTTGGACAAATCAATACTTACACTTCGGTATACGAGTAACCTCCCGTGCTGAAGGAGCTCATGCATATATTAAGCGCTACCTAGGGGGCAAAAAAACCAAGGGGGACCTCTATTCATCATGGCTACTTATTGAAGCAGCTGTAATCAACCAAATTACAGCTGTATCAACTCGTATAAGTATGTTACAGGACCGCGCACCACTTGATATAGACAAGAAGCTATATGTGAGGGTTGGAACCCATGATGGAGGCTCGGGCCATGCCCTCGCTAAGCACTGACCAAAGTCCCCGCTCAGCATTGGCCATTGCTCCACTGCTAAATTGGTTTCTCCTTTTCTACACTTTTCTACTCTATTCTTTTGACGTTACGTATTTGTCAAACAGTTTCTTGGAAGACTCCAGAAACTCTTCCTCTCTCTATATATAGAGGAAGAGATTGCATGTATGTAGTCTTCACGCACTTCTTAATTGAACATTCGAAACCTCACCTTTGAGTTGTTCAAGGTCTGGCCTCTCACACTATATCAAGGCTGTTTTGGGGTAGTCACTTGGTATGCACTACGACTTGTACAACGACATCAAGAGACTGTTTCTCGGCCACTACTGCCCTGTACTGGTGCTTTTACCCGGGCAATGGGCTTGCCTTGTGCACATATATGCGAGATAAAGAAGGACACTACTGGGCTTACTCCATCAGACTTTCATGAGCACTGGTACTGGGACCGTAAAAGCACTATACAGCCACTACTTAACCCTCTATGGGCTGGTAGACAGCGTATAGCAAACGCAGAGGTTGCTCACACAGGCCGCATTCTCTCAAAAGGGGAGAAAAAAGCAAAGCAATTACCTAAATGCTCTGCATGCCACAGGCAAGGCCACACAATGAGTAGCCGTAGCTGCCCGTTGAAACTACAAGCATCAATTGCTGCTCAAAGCCAGATTCTCCTTGAATTAGATACAGTGCCCACATCACCCACATTATCCACATCACCTACAGCACCTTCAGCACCTCTAGCATCAGCACCTTTAGCATCTCTAGCACCAACTGTACCTAAGCAGCTTTCACCAGATCGGCCAGAAGTCTTAATTCTGGCCTACCTAGCTGAAAAAACAGCCTGGCTAGCCCAGCATCCTACTATACGGCCAGCAGAATATCGTAAGGCCCGAAAATGGAAAACACCAAGGCCGAAAATTTTAAAAGAGCAGGTATTTTATATGCCTAGGGAGCGGCGTGATCTTACAGGTACTATTATTACAAATAAAGCTGACTGGACAAATGAGGAGATTATAGCATGGCTAGATAACGAGGAAAAGAAGGAGCAAGATGAGTATAATATGCTTGAATCAGAGTTTATTAGGAATAGGAATAGGAATACTGAGAATAGGAGTAGGGATATATGGGCTAGACTTGAGGAGGAGTATGCGCGAGACTCGGAGCGATATATATTGTAGGATTTATTATATGTTATTTTGTTAAGCATGTATTAATTATAGGTATAAGTAGAGTGTTCGTGGATGGTGGGGGGGCGTGAAAACCCGCGCTTAGTCAGCTCTAAACTGACGCCGGGGCGTCAGTGTATTGGGACCCGGCGTAAAAGGTCGTAGACAGTTAGACTACTTTCAGCAAGAAGGGGGCCAAACTTTTGCTCTCTCTCGTCATCCTTACCGTCTCCAATCAGCCTCCACTTCTCATTCTCTACGGCTAACTTCAAAAGCGAGTAAAGGTTCTTCGGCGTGACACGATGGCAGTAATCCAGGATTCCAATGCAGGTTTGAATCCACCGCAGAACTCGCAGCGGCTCCAGAGTTCCTTCATGCTGTCTAAACTCCAAAGTTGGCCTTACCGGAAGATCCATATTAGGACTACTAATAGAGAACATTCTTTTTCGAAGGCCGTTGTGGTTGTAGGCCATAAGCTTGGGGTCTTTAATAAGTTAGCTATAATTCTAAATCAATTATGGAGAGGGGATCTTACTATACGAATCTCCTATGTCCCGAACGAGATTTTCAATTTTTTTAGCGTTCAGAAAATGAGAGATGCCTCTCCATATGGACGGTGGTCCTATGTACCGACTTTGCCTCTTCATTGAGAAACGAGAAGTGTCTCTTATAGTCTGGGCATAACTGCCGCCTTGGCGGTTTTCAGGATGGAGCGTTGTTAGTTGAGGCTCGAACGCATAGAAAAAAGCACCGGCCTTTTTCAACAACTCGAAACTAGGACCAGCCTTGGTTCCTGTGCCCACGTGGACATGCTGTGACAATGTTAGCATATTTCTCAATAGTTAAATTGGGAAAATACGTACCAGGCCTGTCGATGCATTACTCACAAGGAGATACGTGGAATTCAATAATTCCAACACTTTTCGAACCTCCTGGTAGCTTGAGGAGGAGTTCCAGAAAGCTGGACTGACGAGCTCAATCTGATACCATGCATACTTGTTATATAAAGGATTGGAATCAGGATAGATTTCGAGGCTGCTGTCAGACTTGAGTTGCCATTTAGTAAGATCGGGAGCGTCAAAGTCACCACCCGATCCGTCTCTTTCAACCTCGATGCCAGCTTCTGTCAAGGTTTTTAGAATATGTGCAGTCGCATTGTTCCATGTAGGTTCTGCCTCAAAGGTAATCTCGCCCTTTTGAGCCCAGACCTCGTCGTCATGCTCTTCTTTGGTCAACTCTGTAGGCGGGGAATGAACGACACGAGCATCAGTTTGTTTTGTCCCTGGCATAGCTTCACCCAGAAGAAATTCCAGCTCTACGCCAAAGGTCCAAAGTTGTTCCGACATGACTTTTACTGTAAGGATAAGGTTGTTGTATTAATAATTTTAATTCGATGAGTTCCGGTAGATAGATGTTGTCTGGCTTATATTTTGTTGATTTCGTGGAGTTGTATGTTTTGGTTTTGATTCTGGTAAATGTATGATATATTCTGTTCTTAAGAACACCGAGAGTTCTTCTCACACTTATATAGGAGCGGGGTCTTGTGCAAAGAAATCTTAGAAAGGCTTTGTGAGATAGATCAGCGACAAAAGGCTTCAACTACTTCAAGTGGCTCGTACAAAGGATCAAAGAATGTTTCTTACAAGACGGGAATGATTCCACAAAGAAACATGGGCAACAAAGTCTCTATTTAAAGTATTCTATAAAAGGTAGGACCAAAGATTCTCGCTTACAAAGGTCAACGAGAGCAGCCATTTCGACGCTTGTTGCTACTTACTGTGATATAAATAGAATTTCAACTATGCAAGCCATGTTTTGTTATAATGCATTGTTGAGCAAGTTCGTGAACACGTATTTCTTTGTCTGATGGTATAATCCACGAAACTCGTGCGAGCCACCTCACCGCCATTCGTTCACCACCCCCTCAACGTCATACAGTAGAGACATATTTCTATGTGTCTCTAGTAGATTCGAGTCTCTATCGAGAACTTTTAGATTGGTCAATTAGTATCGCGTTAAACTCCTAATACTAGAATTAACCTTAATACCATGGCGTTATTGAGCAAGTACACTGTCGATTCTCAGAGTAATAGACACCCTCATATAAATACGTACCGAATAAGCATTATCAATTTCGATTGAGTAATTATCACAAAACTATCAGAATGCCATTCTGACGTATCTATTTCTATTCCTTTTTCTCCTGGCGGAAGCAAGGGAGACTTTGCGATACACCACGACAAAGGATCTTCAGCTCACATCCAAGATAACATTTTCTTGGCTTCAGATTCAGAGGCTCTAATATGAGAACGATCACCATTTTAATGATGTCTACTTTCTTCTTTTCTTGGGTATCGTGCGCGGTTTTCCTTATGAAGGTTGGATTTTGGCAATAACTACTTTTGGTACTTGTGAACCTCGAATTTTCCTGCAACCAGCGAGCCAGTTCATCGAGAACGATTAAGAGTAATCCATTAGCGACAAGGCTCCAATTTCGAATACTGAGGAAATATATCTGGTTGAGGGAGATTGAGTAGAACCATGGATTCGAGGGATTCGGAAATGAACCCCCCCTGCGGGGTGGAAGAAGAAGCAGCAGAGGCCGTTCCTTTACTCGAAACCCTAGAAGACTACGAGCTTAAATCATTATCCAATCCAGAATTCGACTTTCCAATAATTCGACTTCCACCGAAAGGTCGTTTCCTCCGATTCGCAAGATGCACGGCATTTGGAGTCTACCGACGAATATTCTTAGCAGTCTTTATAATCAACATTTGGCAAGGCCATTGTATCCTCACATTGCGTCGAAGATCGAAATACTCGCCACTGCTGGTCGATGTATCAACAGCCTTCGCACTCAATATGTTCATAGCTGTCCTCATACGACAAGATTATATCATTAATCTCCTATTTAGAATATGCTGGTTAGTCCCGTTTTCAGCACCACTTCGACTCCGAAGATCACTTGCCAAAATATACGAATATGGGGGTCTGCACAGCGGTACAGCGGTTTGTTCTGTTCTGTGGTTCTCGTTACTTTCGGCAATATTGGTGTGGGAATTCGTTACTCTTCGAATAGCCGACCCTCTGATAATGATGTGTACTTTCATGGTTATTTCCATCCTTTGGGCTATGGTCATTGCGGCATAACCTTTGCTCAGAGCTTCGAGACATAACACGTTCGAAGTGATTCATCGATTTGGGGGTTGGGTAGTGTTAGGTCTTTTCTGGCCTTACCTCTGGCTCTTCACCAGAGCACTTGGCCACCAATCAGGCCCATCTTCGCCTGGAGCAGTCTTGACTAAGCTCCCTGCTTTTTGGCTGCTCATCGGTAGCTGTTTCCATGTTGCGTTGCCGTGGATGCGTCTTCGTCGACTTGAAATAAAACCGGAACGTTTGGGGGTGGGTGTTCATGCGATTCGGCTGCATTTCAACGAAAAGATTTCCAATTGTGTTGTGTACCGGATCGCAGATTCACCTCTCAAAGAATGGCACTCTTTTGCTTGCATTCCTTCAGTAAATGGCAGGGGAGGCTCCCTTGTAGTTTCCAACGCAGGTGATTGGACTCGTCGTGCAGTCAATAATCCAAAGAGAGCGTACTATACCCGTGGAATACCTACAGTTGGAGTTCTCTGTATGGCACAGCTCTTTCGCAAAGTCATCATTGTGACTACGGGCTCGGGGATTGGTCCTTGCCTAGGAACCATGATGAAAATTCCAGCTACAAAATGCCGCGTTCTTTGGAGTGCACCGGAACCACGGCGTACTTTTGGTGATGAGATTTGTGATTCGGTCATGGAGGTCGATCAAGAGGCTGTGATTATCGACACACATGCTGTAGGCAGAAAGGATTTGGTGGGCTTAGCGTATAGTTTGTATGTCGAGGAGAAAGCGGAGGCTATTTTTGTTGTGAGCAACAAAGCCTTGACAAAGCACCTCGTGTATGAAATGGAGAGTTGTGGCGTGCCAGCTTTTGGGTGAGTGCACATTCCCGCAGTTCTTTCCTCCCTGGGATTATTCGAGCCGAGTTGAAAGTTCTTTCCCCATAAGGCGGTCTTCTCTACTCTTGCATTATCTTCGTACTCAGGAGTCTTTCCGTAATAAGGACAACACCAACTCCAAATCCACCCTAGGCCCATTTGGGACTCTTGAATCATATTGACATGCTGCGGACGTCTCCCGAATATGATGTTCGAGTCAGGGAATGACGGGTTTCCCTGGACTATCAGAGGCTAAATAGTCGGCTCTTTTTTTTTTGTCTGGACGCATCCAGCGAAGCTGACGAGGCGAGCTCGCGGCTTAACTATAATTATGTAATTAAATTAAGTAAGTAAATAAACAATTACTTAAATAGATAATCAAGATTGTATTTGATAAATTACAAAAGAGACTATTAGACAATATATTAAGAATTCGCTGAGGCCCACTTATTTAGATAATCTTACCATTGAGGATTTAGGCGAGGTTATTATAGGTAAGGAAAAAGATTGCAGACCTTGAAAACTAGGGTTATTCTCCGAGGTATTTAAAGAAATCGGCCCTTTAAATTTAAGAATCCTTGTATCTATCTAGGTTGATCTGTACACACGACACTGTTCCGAGATGGAAATTTGCATAGAGGTCCTTCGTTCCCAAAATTTTCCTAACAGGAAATCATTCAAGAAAAGCTTCCAGGATGATTTCAAGGAAGGACCATCCCTCTATCTTCACCCATGAATAGGGCCCACGTGGATAGAACCGCCATAACCGAAATCTCCACTTCTTCGACTTTATCAGCAAGCATGCCCCGGAATGAGAAATTGATCTACCTTGGCAAAGTGCAGACAGAATACCGAACATTAACCAGCTCGATAGAGAATTACTTATAAATGCAATGAGCTGTACGGTCGCGAAAGATATCTTGGTCGTCCTCTCACCCCTGTTTGTCAGATTTTTCGTTACTCGTTTTAGCAATCCAAATATTCAATAATGAAGTTCACCGCCACCTCAATTGCCGCTCTCTCACTGGCCCTCACAACCACTGCCATTCCGAATAGAGCTCCACGATCTGAGAATGAAAAAGGTGCGCTTCAACACTGGCCAGTTGAAGCAGCCAAAGCCCTCAATCAGATGATCTCCAAAAATGCCAATCAATCAAATTACGCCGTGTTCGACGCGGATAATACCAGCTGGCGCTACGACATCGAAGAAAGCTCTATTCCATATCTCGAAAACAAAGGAATCCTCTCCCGTGAAACCATGGATCCCTCACTGCAACTTATCCCCTTTAAAGATACTGAGACTTACAAAGAGACCCTGTATAGTTATTATCTGAGACTATGCGCGATGGACTCATTGATTTGCTACCCGTGGGCAGCCCAGATCTACGCGGGGTTGACGTTGAGAGTTGTGAAGGAGCATATTGACACGATGCTGGCTGAAAATGAGAATATTCCAGTTATTTATTGGGGGGAGGGAGATTTCCTTTACCTCAAGTATATCGATCCTGCGAAGGTTTTTACCGGCCAAGTTGAGCTCTTCAATGAGCTTCAACGAAACGGGATTGATGTGTGGGTTGTCAGTGCGTCAAATGAGGAGATTGTAAGATTCGTCATGTCGGATCCAAAATATGGATACAACGTCAAGCCAGAGCGTGTCCTGGGAGTTTCGACCATGATGAGACTGCCGGATGGAAATCTCACCACTTCTCGCAAACAGATTCAGGAGGTTAGATCTTTCTGAAGAATAATAATATAAGTTTCAATAGTACTAATATCTTGAGTAGGGGACCTATAATCAGACTGCCAATTTGGATTTGCAATTCGGGTCTTATCTTTGGACGCCGGCTACTTGGTACGCCGGGAAATGGGCTGCGGTTACTACTTATATCGATGCGTGGAAGAAACCTGTGCTCGCGGCGGGTGATACTCCGGGTAGTGATACTTATATGCATTTCAACGTCGATATTGAGAAGGGAGGTATTCATCTGTGGGTCAATGGAACAGAAGAAAAGATGGAAAAACTCCAGCGCTTGATCGATGATGCTGTCAAAGGACAGAAGGCGAACAATCTCCCAATTACCGCTGACAAGAACTGGGTTGTGGTGAAACCTGAAGATATTGCTTAGATTATGTGATTACTCTAGTATTAATCTAATGTATTAAAAGTAATGGCAACGTTAACATCAGATATATGGTTTGGCTCATGTCACGATATTCGCGACCTGGAGTAGAAGGGGGGGAAAGTCATGTAATATTGTCTAAGACAACTCTACACACACACATATTCTTAGCTAGCACACCACGCCCCTTCAGAAAGATATACAAGTATAAACAAAACGATGTTATACCGTATCAACTCACTCGTTTAGTTGGACCAACAGCTTAGAACTGGAAAAGAATCTCGTTACTATAACTACGTATTTCTGTACTTGGCTCTTGGTGGACGAGAAAATTCGTGGCGACTTCTTTTATCTTAGCCGAACTTAAGTAGAAAATATAAAATTATATTGTTTATTTGGACTAATTAACACGATGAATCTAAAATGGCAGGACAATAAAGGCAATTGTTCTAGATATTTTAAATGTTTAATACTTCAGTCCAAAAATAAATCTCTGATTCTCTGCCACTCTTCTTGTCTACCGGGAGCTTGGTTCTATATAGCTCCAAGTTTTCTTTGGTGACAATGAGTAGCGCTAACTTATCTACATTCTACTCATACTGCCAATAGTTCGAAGTAACCAACTCGCTTATATTCTAATGTAAATCCATAATCAGACAGGTGTATCACAACTCCTCATCCACTTCATTTTTGACAGAGCGTGCGCAATTACTCAGATGCGATTTCCTCCTCACGTACCACTAAATACCTAACAATTGTCGATATCTCTTCAAACAAAAATCCCTTAAATGGGCAGTGAGAACGACCTTACTTCCTGGCCGGCCTCGACGGTATCTGAGGCCCAAGCAGTATCATCCCGGTCGAACAATTCGTGCTATGAAACCTACCAACTTTCTAAAGTTCGCTTCTGACTTAGAACGGACTGTCATTGAGGATTCGATATTAGTTTGTGCCACTCAGGAAGAAGTGGTGAGGCCGTTTCACAAGTGGGTTGAAAGTATTCTAAGATTGCAGTAGAAGAGAAAAGAATATAAGAACACAAGAATGAATGATCATGTAAGGAATTTGCCACAGTTTGACTTTTGTGTATTTGAAGATGAGATGAGATGTCTCTACTAAGCTTGAGCTTGGAGAATTAAAACGAGGAGGATGACGGACCTCTAGAGGTCCACGAAGCCACTTGGATGTATATAGAGACGCGGCGTCTGGTCTCATTTTACAATTGCTTCCATTATGAAAATGGTGATAACAGCTGAGCGCATTTCTACGTCCAACCACCGAGGGTCTACGGGAGGCATTCTTGCTGAAGCTTATGTAGATGTGTGGAGAGATTTAAGTGGTAAAGGGGAGGCCATCAAGTTAGATCTGTGTGGATTACAGTTTGTAGACGACCGCTTCTACCTGAGTCTACCTTCAGCTATCAAGAAATCAACCTCAACCTAGTGGGAGCACGAGAGGGGTCCATAGTGTTATAGACCACCGTACTTTTAGTAGGAATATTAAAATTTTATAAATTTTAAAAACTCTTAAAAACTTACTAGGATATATATTATAATATAGATTATATTATAATATAGATTAACGTGGTTTATCACCGAGTCGATCATATCACCGAGTCGATCACTTTTCCTTGGCACTACCTCCTCAAACTTCAACACACGTTTTCTTCAACTATTTACCATGGAAATTCAAACTCAAGAAGCGCGAATTACTCTAGCTATCGAGGCTATTCGGTCGTCCAAAAAACTAAGCAAACGCTCTGCGGCAAAGATCTACAATGTACCATATACAACTCTTTCCGACAGAATGGCTGGCCGAACCTACCGCCCAGATTCTCAAGCCAATTGTCATAAGTTGACTGAGTTAGAAGAGGAAGTGATTATTCGGTATATACTGGATATGGATTCCAGAGGATTTGCGCCCCGGCTCGCTGGTGTAGAAGATATGGCTAATTTTATCCTTGAATCGCGGGGGGGAAGACGCGTCGGCAAGCTCTGGGCCCATCGATTCGTACAACGACAACCAGACCTTAAGACGCGTTTTAATCGCGTTTACGACTTCCAGAGGGCCTTATGCGAAGATCCTGACGTGCTAGGCGCATGGTTCCGGCTAGTAGAGAATATGAGGGCGAAATATGGGGTTACAGACTCCGACTTCTACAACTTCGACGAGACAGGCTTTATGATGGGTGTTATTTGTCCTAGAATGGTTGTTACTCGTGCAGACCGACGTGGTAGAGGCAAGGCAGTTCAGCCAGGCAATCGGGAATGGGCTACAGCAATTGCCTGTATTAATGGGGAGGGCTGGAGTATTCCTCCATTCTTGGTAGTTCAGGGCAAGAACCATCTCTCCAACTGGTATACCGACGGCGGCCTCCCACCTAACTGGGTTATGAAACCGACAAGCAATGGTTGGACAAATAATGAAACAGGCCTGGAATGGTTAAAGCACTTTGATAAACACACTACAGCTCGTGCAAAGGGTCTGTATCGAATACTAGTTTTGGATGGGCACGAGAGTCATGAATCGGCTGAGTTCCAAGACTACTGTACGAAACACAACATTATTACTCTTGGACTACCTCCTCATTCATCCCATCTAACCCAGCCACTTGATGTTGGGTGCTATAGTGTGTTAAAACGAGCGTATGGTCGGCAGATTGAGACGTTTATCAAGGCCCATATCAACCATATTACAAAGGTTGAGTTCTTTCTAGCCTTTACAGCAGCATACAAGGAAACAATGACAGTCCTAAACTGTCAGTCTGGATTCCGCGGAGCTGGCCTAGTACCATTTAACCCGCAAGCAGTGCTTTCAAAGCTTGACGTAAGGTTACGGACTCCAACTCCCCCTCGGACGTGTAGTGCCAACTCCCTCCCCTGGGTGTCCCAGACCCCTTCCAACCCAACTGAAGCCCTTTCACAATCAACTCTTGTACGAAATCGTATAGCCTGTCATCAAGGAAGCTCGCCAACTCCACTTTTTCAAACAGTTGCTGCGTTAGCAAAGGGTACAGAGCGAATGGCACATGAGATGACCCTTTTGTCTGCTGAGGTCCGTACCCTTCGCGCTGCAAATGAAGCCCTAAGTAAACGCCGTAGGGCTAAAAAGACTCGTGTCCGCCAAGGAGGGGCACTTATAGCAGAGGATGTACAGGATATGTTAGCTCAGGAGGATGTAGATGAGCAAGTACGACGCGACATGCGTGAGGCGGGGGTTGGTTATAAGGAGGGGCAACCTTCTAGGCGGCGCTGTAGAACTTGTGGAAAAGCTGGTCATAACGCGCGAACTTGTCAATAAGTTATAGATATATCTAGTTCGTCAGATATAGAGAGCGATAATTAATTTAATATATTGTGGTTGATTTATTTAGGTGTAAAGTTCTGTGCCAAGAAAAAGTGATCGACTCGGTGATATGATCGACTCGCTGATATTATAATATAATCTATATTCACTAAATTATATATATCTTCTAGATCTACTTTACGTAATCTATTCGCCTCTACCTTCCGAGAATAATACCCCCTAAAATAAGCGAATCCCCCTAGGCGGACCTACTACTATAACTCTACTAAAGATCTTTTAAAGCTATAAGAAGAAAGAGTTTACTAATTACGCTATATCCTTTATATAAGATAAAACGACGGGTAGGTACTATAAGACTTATACTTGTGACGGTTCTAACCGCCACTACGCTACAGACCAGCCCCTGGCTGGAACCCTGCGGCAACCATGCTCCAGACCAGTCCCTGGCTGGAACTCGGCTAAGTAGGTGCGCTTGGCACACCTCCTGTATATAAGAGCCTCCAGCTCCTGAGCTTCTGTCCTTTCTTCTCTTCTCTCCTCAGCTTAGAATCTTCGTATAGACAGTTCCACAGTGTCAATCTCACCACTCGTGATACCTGACGTAGTCGTTCGATGGTATTAATAAAACACTTGTAATTTATATATAAATACGTTATTACGGCTACTATATCTTATATTATTATAATATAACTTTTAAAAGGCTTAGATCTACTAGCTATCCGCGGTTAGTTTAAGTAGTAGAGGTAAAGGAATATAATTCGTAGTAGAAATTATATTTTAGAACGGTAAGGCTTATTAAAGTTACTAAGGTTAGACTAGAATTTATAGTATAATTTATAGTACTTAAACTAGTCTCTACATAGTAGCGACTATATATTATTAGTTATCCGGAAGCTTTAGGATATTATAACTAGTACGAATAAGTAGAGAATATGACTATTCGAGCTATACTCGCTTATAAGATTACTAGCGTACCTCCGGTACCTATAGCTATTGTGACGGTTCTGACCGTCACGTGCCATTCATATCACGTGGCTTCCTTAGCGAGGCACATTGTATTTAGACTCAAGCTCTCTCGAGCTCTCCTCTTCTCCTCAGCTTAGAATCTTCGAATAGACAGTTCTACGATTCCATAACCTACACCTTGGAGGCTCCTTGAGCAACACATCGTACGTGTCGTCACAGCTATTATAGTACTACCTTAAAGTTATAACTCGTACGGTCCTCTATATTAGGTATAGTAGTAGATTTATCCTAAGATTACTTTTATACTTTATTTATTTAAGAGGATTTAGTAGATTCTATTATAAGAGCTCTATTATTTAATATAGTATATCGAATATATAGCGAGTTTTATTTATTATAGTAGACGAATCTTTTAGTTTTCGATAAGCTTATAATGTATAACCTATACTATTATAAACCGTTATTATTAGCTAAATAACCTTTTAATCTTACTAAATATAAAATAGGACCTCCTCTCCTCTTTCTATATAGTAGATCTCTATCCTTGATTCCCCCTAGTTAGGTATCTTCCTATTATTTTTAGGTTCGGTTTTAGTAGTAAAGTAGCCATATATTCTATTCCCTTATACTATACGATATACGCTAATACTAAGACTTTATAGGACGGAGAAGAGCCTACAGTCGGTAAAGAGATTATCTATAAAAATTATAAATAGTAGGGCTAAATATAGTAG